ACCTAATTCCGATACAAACATTGACATTTTGAATATTTGAACTGTGTTCTGCATGTGTTAGTGTGTGTGTGCTTGTGACTTTAAATTGAAATGAAGAAACGAGAAAAACTGTGAGGAGGGGAAGAACACACACCTTCCGGACCGGCAACGTCTGTCCGGCAGCCATTGAAACACTTTCGAACGTGCCAAAACCGTTAGACTAACTGGGCCAACGTCAATGCTGACTCTGTCTTTGTCCGAGCAAATGGAATACCTTTTGAAAAGTCTCAACAATCTGCTGCTTTCGGCTTTCAGGCCGCAAGTGTTACGTGTTGTGGCTGTAGTTGTTGCTACTGTTGTTGTTGTTGTTGTTGTCTAGAGCTGCGCAAATATGCCAGCTAAGGTCACAAGCGCTGTGGGTGTTGTTTTTGTTGCGTCACATCAAATTGTTTACAAAACAAAACACGTGTTGAAAAACTGTCATAAACTACAGCATACTCGCAGGCGCCTTAGCCAGCAATCTGTGTCTTTATTTCGCTTGCCTTGCCAGCATCTTTGCCTTCAGCTTTAGCTTCAGCTTCGCTTTCGAACTTAATGGTTTTTGAAACGCACAAAAGCAGCAGCCAGCAACAACAACAACAACCACAGCTACATTATGTAGATCATCACGAGCGGCGTTAACATAACCAGCCCTGCATTTTGATATCTCTGCTTGAGATTTTTGCTCTGTTTTCTGCAGTTATGGGCAACAAGTTAAGTGCAGAGCATTCACACTCGATTTACATATATGCATATAGTCGTACATATTTAAATATAATACTTAATAATACGACAGCGTGGACCTTTACCGATTGCTGATTACTGCTCCCTAATTGGCTGCTCACTACTAACTGCTTCAAACAATCTACGACTGCTGAGTTCTGACTCATTGTTGATCGTTCTCTTTTTCACTGAGTCTTCTCCTGTTTGTTTTTGAATTATTTATATCTTATTTTTTATAAAATTTTTAGCCGAACGAAGAGCGAAGATCTTATAATATCGACTCATCTATTTGCTCACCATTGTGGGCGTTAGAAACTACTTGCCAAGGTCTTGGCATATGATTTGAAATCAGAAAAGTTCCTTCTCCAATATATAGTTTAAAAAGTAGAATGATTTTTTCCATAGTTAATTAATGTAAAGTAATTATTCCATATCTAATTTCCCTTTTTCGCTTCCCTTTCTTATTCTTTTCTATGTGCGTTTAAAGCTTGTTAGTATAACAAATTAGTTTTATTTAAAGCAAGCAGGACATATTATTTTGGCCTTAAGTGTTGACACTTAAGTCACATTTCCTATGGGTTTTTCATTTTCAACAGATTTATTAACCACAGCAGCAAAATTTTTGCTTCCGTTTGGTTGTTAGCGTCAACAGTTTTAAGCCACAATTGCAAAGTCAGACTTCAGCAAAAACAATCAAAATGTTTGTGGTTTCTGTAAAACCACAACAACACCCACACACCTACACACACACACACACACACACACACACACACACACACACAAATACAGTCTACACTTACTAACACGCATACGTTAAACTTTTGCGGGTAATTGCACTCAAATGGTTGGCACGTTTTTGGCTAACAATTGTTGCAGCGCTGTTGTTATTGTTGTTTAAGCCAACTTGTTGTCGTTGTCAACGTGCGCACCAACTGTCAGACTGAGTTCAAACAATGAAACTGAAAGTTGCGAAAACACACACACAGTCGATACAGAGATTTTCATATTTTTCCGAATGCAAATTTTCGTGCATATGAGACAATTGGCCCTGGGATTGCAATTTCGTGCGGAGCCAGACAATTTAAAAAGGGCTTATGTGGCATCATCTGCAAGGGATAATCATTGGAGCTCAGCTAACTGTCTGGCGAAAATTAAAATTCCTGGCTACAGGCCAAATTTTTGATTAAAAAGTAATTGTCTCGAGTATCTGAATGTAAACAAAAATGTCAATAGACACTCGTACAGTCAGTTGAGACAGGACTTCATATATACTTGAGATAAGCAGAAATTGTAGAAGTCTGAAATATTTTCTGAAGAGTTTGGCGAATAGAGGGAAATGCATCGCTTGAGTGTGGGCAGCATAGATTCTCGTATCATTAACAGAGAGAACGAGATTTGAAGTCGCTGCTGCTTGGCCAAATAAAAATTCTAATTGAAGTTGATAGTAGAAGGCAGACCTTCAAAACCTTCAACTGAAAATGGAAACGAGGGTTTATTTTTATAAAAATCTACTTCCGTGGTACATTCTGTTGCCAAAAAGATGTTGGAAACATGATGTTTGCAGAATGTTGCGAGCAGCGTCTTGCAAACATTATGCTGAAAACGTGATGTTGCTGGCACAAAGTTGCGAACGTAATGAAACGAAGTATTTGAAGGAATTCCTTTTCGAAAAATGGAATCTACTTGACTAGACTTTATTGAATCAACTGAAGCGAGGGTTTCTTTTAAAAAAAATCTACTTCTGCAGTACATTATATTGCCAAAAAGGTGTTGGAAACATGATGCTCTAAGCTGCTTACAAGATGCTGCGAATGAGATGTTGCCAGCAGCATTGTAAACATAGTGCAGCCAACGAGATGTTGCTGGCACAAAGTTGCGAACGTAATGAAACGAAAGTATTTGAAGGAATTCTCTTTCGGAAAATGGAATCTACTTGAGTAGACTTTACAGAATCAACTAAAGATAATAACAAGGGTTTTTTTTTTCAAAAGAAATCTGCTTCTTCATTACATTATGTTGCCAAAAAGGTGTTGGAAACATGATTACAAGCTGCTGTGAACGAGTTGTTGCGAGCAGCGTATTGCAAACATTATGCTGCCAACGAGATGTTGCAGGCACAGTGCTGCGAACTTAGTTGAAGGATTTCTGCTAAATACATATGTATTCACCTAACTGTATTTGTTACTTGCTGCCTTCGTCAAAAAATTGCACAAAATTGCAATCTCACATTAGATTTGTACCTGTTCTAATCAAATGCAATTTATATTTTTGTTTCCTGCTATTTGGAACCAGCATTAGTTTAAGTTTCAGCTTTGTTTGCATTAATTTCAATTCAGCTCCTATCTAGCTAAGCAACGAAGCTTTGATGACTGTTCTCACAACATTGTCGCCAATTTAATGTATGTTTAATGATAACTGATTGGAGTTCTACTTTACTTTGTTTTTACATTGAAGAGAAAGTCTATTTGTAGTAAAAAGAAGCACCAATTGCTGTGCAAATTATACTTGTATATTATTTATTTGTTGTTTGCTTCGTCTGCATTCCAGCTCGGGCTGTCTTCATTGAGTTATCTTCATTTTCGATTCAGCCCATGTTCCGCTGAGCAGCCTTGGCCGGCTTTTTAACAAATGTCAATGCCTGCTGAGCTCCATTGGCGACTCTTCTCATGTGCTGGTCGGTTGATGAATGTTGCATTTTGCTGGGTCTGGGGAATCACCCCCATGATCGGCCATTTGTCGCGTTAATTGTGCGGCCAATTGCAACAACAAAAGTGTGCCCGCATGATGGGAGAGTGAGTGTGAGTGTGCAAGTGTCAGCAAATGCGTGTTAATTAATCAAGGGTTATATTTGAAGTGGCGCTCTGTTCCCAACTGCAACTGATTGACCGCTGCCATGCAATAAAACGCGGTTAAATAATGTCACACTCGAAGTGCTCACAACAAATGCCAACTGCACCGCATACTTACACAAATTTATATAAATATTCCGCTCTATATTTATATTCTTGTACATATGTGTGGCATGTGGAGTTGTATAGTATAAGTGCCGCCAACCACGCCGCTCTACTGCACATTTATGCTAATTAAGACACATCAAGTGGCTTTTATGTTAAGTGTTCGCCTCCTTTTGTGAGTCATGAGTGCGTGGCTTGCATTTTATGTTCATTTTATTGTTTTATTTTTCATGTATATTGCCATTATTGTTATTGTTGATACTTATTATTATTATTACTGTCTCTGCGCATTTGTTATTCCAGGTTGTTTTCCCCCCTCCTTTCCACCTCCTCTGACCATTTGTACAATTAATATTTTTAAGCATTGCATGTCAACGCTGTTAAATAAGAAGCCCCCCGGAGAGTTTTGCGTAATGCAATTACTGCTGCTTGTTGGGATAATGATGAGATTGAAATATTGAGCCGCTCATTTGTTGTGGTTATGCGCTCATATTGAGGCCAATGGTCAGTTGCGTTAATGGAGGCAGAAGTCAGGCAGGATATTCAAATAATTTATGTTTTTGAAATGCGTTAATCATTTTTACATTTAAACACTAAACTGCTTCTTAAGTTGACTATCAATTGATACCTTTTAGAACATTCCAAAACTTACTTAAATGGTTAAAGAAGTTTAGCTGTCTTTTTTAATTTATGTATATCTGATTTTTTAAATCAGATGCACTTTATAATGCATAATTAATAATTCATAATTCTCTGACGAAATATATTTGAAGAATATTTTTAAAATAATTTGAAACGTGTTCATTTAAATGACGATTTCAAATTATGAATAAAAAATATTGTTTGTATGGAACTGTAAAACAAATAGTATTACTAAATAGAGCTTTTATATACTATTTGCAATATAGAAGCATTGTAAAAAAATCCCTTAAATATCTGCAACTGCCAATATTATAATTAATACATTGATTCCATGGATTCATAAAGTGTAGAGCCTTAAACTTATCACGTTGAGAAATTGTTAAATGAACATCTAAAAAAATGTGCGTTCTTTTCAGAACAAGGTTTTTTAGAAGCTTTGGAAATGCTGTATTTATATGGCTTACAGTTTTCATTAAATATATGTAAAAATTTCTACCACTCAGCTGGCTAAAACACTCTTCTACTAGCCATACTTACCTCACCAGCAGCTTTTTACCCTTTCGGGCTTCAAGTTCTCTGTCCTTCCAATCCATTATGAAACAGTGTGGAGCACCAATTGGATGGAAAATCAAAATTGTGTCCCATTGGCAATAATTGGCTATCTTTGTGTTTTTTTCTTTCGGCTTTATTTGAATTGCTTGCTTACAAATTTATGATTAAGACGTACATAGGTATGTTGTAATGTTTAGCACTTCTTAGAGCCATATGTGTGTATATATAGCCATAATCAGCTGTACACATATCGTGTATATTACATATACATACTATATATATATAGTTCTTGTGATTTAGAGTTAAAAAACATTTGTTAAAATTTGATAAGAAAACGAGCTTAGGTATAAAAATGTCTAAATATTACGAATGATGCAAATGCGAATACACAATACACTATAATTAAACATATATATGTATATATAACTGTCGCGTATTTTATAGGTATATATGTATGCATGTATATATGTATTATCGTTTATATATCTATATAATTTTCGATATTAGAAAACGTTATAAAACCCTTGCTTATTGACACGTGTTGTCTATGTTGTCTGTTGTCTGTCTATGTGGCTAAGTTTATTGAATATGCGCATATTAATTAAATATATATACTATACTCGTATGTTTTTTTTTATTTTTGTTGTTTGTTGATTTTCAATTTTTCCAATGTTGGCTCTAAAATTGTGAGACGCTTACGAGCGTGTCAAAATTAATTGAACGAAAATCGAAAATCGTATCACAGATGGGGTGTGGACGTCTCTGGGTCCACACATGATTCTATAACTGGCCTGGTATTCCGGTATTCATTGAGCCCGGCCCGTAACAAGTAACTAGTGCTAGTGGCTGCTTAGGGTGAGGGTGGAGGGCGGAGGGCGTGAGAGGGCTGGCAGACTAACTCTGCCACCAGAGGGCGCTCGTGTTCCAAATCCACGCACCACCCGACCCTACTCAACGATGCTGCTGATGGGGCGGTGCGAAGGCCTGCATGCTGTAATACCGCTCGCTGTCCTCCTTCACGACACTGGTCACATGATGGAACTGGCACGGATGCGATATCTGGGACTTGGGCGGCAGGGGGGCGGGCTTCACGCGCTTCTGCTTCTTCTGCTTGCGTCCGGGCGCCGAAAGCGCAATGTTCTCGGGATCGCTGACCAAACGCTCCACATGCTGCCACAGCTCACGAGCCGCATCGGTGGAGTCGAAGCTGAAGCCAATCATCTGCTGATGATTCGTCGACAGGCACATGGTGTGGAAGGACGGACCCGCAATGCGATAATTGGACAAGTTGTCGATGCGATCGGACCAGAGGGCAAAGCATGAGCCGCGCTCGGCCAATACCAGCGTGACACGCGGTATGGCGCGTGCCCGTGAGTTTCCCCTGTCATGCAATATGACGGGTATGCCCGTGAAAACCAAACGCCAGTCCCCATCGTTGCCAGTGCCCTCGTACAGATTGGCCAGAGCTCCACTCACGAATATCTCGGTGCCGAGGCCGCCGAAGAAGCTCTCCACCTGACCGCGTTCATAGTCGGCCAAATTTGTGTTGCTTGTCGTGTCTGTGCTGATGGTGTCCGCATCTATATCCGAGGCATTATACAGCGAAGTGGTGCCGTGTGCGCTGCTACGCTGTGCCGAGGAATGCGAGTGTGCCGACCACTCCGGATTCATCATGAGCTCATGGTGCTCCGATGAGGCTGTGCCCTCGCTAGACTCCGAGGGCGGTGCTGAATCACTGACCGAGCCAAGGCGGCGACGTGTTTGCTGCATCTGAAGTGACATCTGCAATGGTCAGCGAGAGAGAGAGAGAGAGAGAGAGAGAGAGGGAGTGGGTTAGAGTTGTTGTATAACTTTATAAAACTAACGCAACTACAGTAGTTAATACATATGAAGAAAAGTGGTTAAAACTGTGCTATGTCTAGGAAAAGATTTTAATATTATTTCGCATGAATGCATAAATACTGCAGCATTGATCTCATTGAGAAACATCAAGCACAACTTTAATTCTTTTTAAAATTAAGTATTATGTTAATTGTCCACTTTCCTTAAATAGTCGTCTGTATTTATAAATGCTACCAATCTTATATTATTATCTGCAGTTCTTCAGTTTTAAAAGCAAGGGATTTTGTTTGTTGTTATCGTTTTACAAATGTGCAATCGATTTTTCATTTCATTTTGATAACAAAGCTCATTAAATACGGTTTGGAAGAGATAGAAGTAATGTCTCATAAAATAAAATCTTATTAACTAGGTCAAGAGCTTTATAATTATTTATAATATAGTAAGATATTATCCTACTAAACATGTTTCTGTAGACTCCTGTTTATACCCTATTGTTTCCTAGTTACTTCTTACTTTTGCGGTGGAATTGTCTGCCTGTCGGTCTTACTCGACTGCAGGATTCCCTCCTCTTTATATACGGATTACAAATGTTTTCATGAAAACACAAAGAACAATTATGGAAGGAACTTGCTTCAAATACAACTTTCTCTCTTTATTGTCGAAGTATGTCATAAAAATTCAGTTGATTTTTTAAAATCTTTTGTTTAATCAAAAGAAAAGTCCAGAAGGTATTCGAAATTTAATTTGAAAGTACCCCTATATTTATATATACAAACAATATTTTATTATATTTTTATTAATAGCGTGAAGCTTTTATTTCCAAAGAAATATGGAATATGGAGTTTAAAACGTATCATCATTGAGTCTACTACAGAAACAATCCCTTCGTTTAACTTAAACTCTGATCTTAATCAATTTTTTCCTTCCTTTTGATGTTATATTTTTCATGGAAGGAGGCTGAAGTTGTCACACCCCGCTGATCTTGCCAATAGATGTATATAAAGTATAAATAATTAAAAAAGACTAAACTCCTAGTATAAGTTGTATTTGTTTTTTTCTATAAGTATAATTAAAGTTTTATATTTAAAAAAAGAAATATTTTTCATTCGGAAATTTTATTCTAGAATTCGGCCCAACTTATTTTCAGTGACATAAAATAAAAGTATATAGATCTTTCGATATTCCTACTGGATATTCAAGATGAGGATTGTGAACAATTTCTGGGAAACTCTCGAATCTAGTAAACAGAGTAAGTCTGAGAGTCTCTCTTAGGCAGCTTCTACTCTCTTCTAACTCCACTTAGCCACACAAGTAGTGTAATGAATTTGTTATGGTTAGCCCCTGGCTTCCCCTCAAGCTGGTCAGCTAAAAAGTTGGCACGTTTTACAGCCACAACAACAACAAAAACAATAACAAGAAGAAGGAGAGAAGACATGGAAACAAAAAGTGTAAACAATAGTCAACACGCGCTAGACTTCGCTTTTTGCTTTGTAGCTCTTTCTATTTTGTTTGCATTGTGCTCTGCTTTGTTTTGTTTTTATTTATTTATTTTTGTTACAAATGCATTTGGCTGCCAATTGGTTTGAGCGCTCAGTGAGCTCAGTGAGCTCAGTTGGAAATTATACAATCAATTTCCGCTCCAAAAACTGTGGGCAAGCAACAATAAAATATGCTCGAAATCAAAATCCAAACGCACTTACTTTTATGCGACCGCAACGTAATCCAATTAGAAATAAAACAGCAATACTTGTACCATAAAGTGTTTCAATAATGCTTGAGTAATTGCTCACTGAATGAACAATGAGTGTGGAGAATAGAAATGCAACAAATCGAAACAATTTCTCCACAAGTGCTCTTCAAATTGATGTAGTTGTGGTAGAGTATGGGAAATAGCAAAGATGGGTCATTCAAGATGTTTTTTATTAAGAAAAACATTAACAGTCAATTAAAAATAAATCCTTACTTCCTCGCGAATTATTCATGATGTTGTGGTTAAAGGTAGCTTTTTGTTAGAAAACAAAACTGTTGACTGTTGATTTGTATTAAAATAAATAAAATAAAAATAAAATGCTTATTACTTTGTGCTGCGAAAGTTGCTGGCTCTAACTTTAATTTTATTTTACTCGCAGGTGGTGAAGATTGTTATCTCTATGTTCAGGTTTTGAGAAAGGGGGGAAAAAGTGCTGCGGTTATTCTAATATTTGTTTGCTGTCTACTCATGAAACGTCTAATGGGGATAGATAGATCTTTTACCAGAAGTATGAAGGAAAAAAACACTGAAACAAACATTTGTAATTATTTTTTTAGGTTTAACATGTTTCATGTTTTTATATTTCATACATTTTTTGTATATTTGATATATCTTTATGTTATATTTCATTTTATTAAGCAACACAAATACTTTTCTCTACCTATTTTGAAATCAGACCTTTTAGTATAATAATAATAACACTTCGGGTTTAGTTTACAGTTGAAAAAGACAGAAACCAAAAGCAGCTGAAAAACTTAAATTTTTGATAGCAAATCCAGCAAAGTTATGCTCATTTATCAAATCGAAGTTCAGGTACACCTGCTAACCAAGTAAGCAAGTAAGCTGTTTACACTTCCGATATCGTTCGTGACACAACCCTTGCCCTGCAGCCAACCCCCAACTACACAATTTCAATTTCAACAGACACTCAAAGGGAATTTCTAATTAATGCAAATGTTGGCAAGTTCTCAAATTACAGTTCGTGGCAGGGCACGTGGACAGTTTGCACGTTTTAATTAAGGCACCAGAAGCCACAAATTTCAGGTTACTGTAATTTAATTATTTAAATTGCTAATTTTTGTCTCTACCGCCCCTCCACCCACGATTTGGTGAAGTCAGTCAACAGTTTCGGCCAACTTTAAAACAAGTTAAAGTCTTTGACGCATAAATAATAATAATACACAAATAAATATGAAAAGGCGCAGCTTTTCAACACATTTGCTCTCCCCTCTGCCGGGCATAAAAAAGGCGTCAGCATTCCAGATAGGAAGTTTGAGGAGAAACAAAATATATCTCACATCCGCTGCTCCTTCCTCGTATTCTTATTGCTAGCACACTTTTAGGCGCTGGCAGGCACAACAGAAGAAGGAGGCGGCGTCGAAAACAGAAAAATGGCACAAAATAAGGAAAGAAACTTTCTTTGGGGCAGGCAGAGGGGCAAGTGAAGCAACAACATTAACGCGTTTATCTATAATTTACACGCATTGGGGGAGCCACAGGACGAAGGACGATACACACACACACACTCACACAAACAAATTTTGCGGTGATTTTCGGCAGCAGGACCAGCAACAGCTATCAAGACAGCTGATACACATTTGTTGTGCCATTTATACAGAGTGGGTGGAGGCAGCAACAGGGGCAGGAGTGGCACGTCTCTTGAGCACTTTTTAGCAAGTTTCGTCTCCTGCTTGCCTCCAGCCTGGCATAGATTAATTGCCACAGTTTGCTGCTCAGGCCAGACGCAGTCGCAATCGCAGTCGCAGTCGGGAAAATATTTAGTGGTGAGATTTATGTTTCTTCATTACGACCAGCAAGAAAATCATTCACCGCCCGCTGAGTCAAGGCTGAGCTGGTAAGGACATGTCGTCTGTTACCCTGCCGCTGGGCCTTGGCCGAGGCAGAACAACAAATATACAAAATACAAGTAAATAATTAATACTGTTGCTCGGCTAGATTGACGTTTTTATTGTTGTGCCAGCCGTTGCCTAAATTAATATATAATGCCATCGAAATGGCGACATTGTTGTGTTCTTGACTCCACAGCACGTCAATTCAAGTTCAATGTCAATGCAAAATTAACCCGCTCGACCCACATGTCGTATGCGCAACATTCGATCGGCCGCCAGAGTGTGTGATGGTGTGCGTGTCCGTGTCCGTGTGTATCTGCATTATTAATGGTGGCGTGTCGCGTTAATAATCGAAAATCAACAAAAGCTTGCATGTTATTTATGGCAGACATTTTTGCTCCGTTTAGTAAATCAATTCCACTGCACTGTAGAGAATGGGAAAGATTTGTATTTAAAAGGCACCAGCAAGAATATTAAAAGACGCAACAATTACGCTCAGAAAATTACATCAATATATGTATAAGTAATAGAAATAATAATAATAATAATAATAATAATAATAATAATAATAATAATAATAATAATAATATATACTTCCTCAGCTTTAAGAATTTGAAATAAAAGCTAAGAGAAAACATTGTAATGCTCTATACTTTTATTTTATCTGTTTAAAAATATTATTAATTTGCAACTTAAAGTTTTTTGTGAGGTTAAAAGATTTGCCAAATCATATTGAAAGTTGGGGATAGATATATGTTATGTTTAAATTCTGACTCTGAATATCATCAACTCAACAACGAATTGGTTTATACAAATAGGCACTAAAGGGATTATTCATGAATTTATTTTTTCGTAAGTTAAATGAATTGTTGCAAATTTATTTGTTTAGCTTTCGGGAAGGATTTTTTGTCGTGTATTGTAGAATGTATAATAGGATTCAGACATTTTTTAAAGCTTTCTTGCTGAAGTTAAGTAAGTTATTATTGTTCACCTTCTTTAATAAGATATGTAGCTATATGTTATAAACGATGATTAGGCTTAACTTAAAGACTTGCGCTTTGATTTATTTAGACCTAAAGACCTTCACAAGAGGCTAAGCCTGCTTCTCAGCCCAGAGGTTGCTCACAACTTAAAACGAAGACAGACAACAATCTATATTCTTGAGTTTTTCGACATACATAAGTTCGTCTGGCACTTGAGTGACATCAACAAGTTTATTACTATTTTTATTCACTTTTAAGTAAGTTTATTTTGTTAGAAGTAAGCCAAGCACAAATGTACACTTCGTTAGAAAAAAACCAACTCCCATTTATTGATAAATTGATATGAAAAAAAGTCTC